GTGGAGGCAAGGAGTGGACTTAGAGGTACAAAAGCACGCATGATGCGAGTACGGAGACCATGCATGGACAGTGACTGCCCGGCGCGTGCAGAGAGATAGAAGCCAGTTGCAGAGAAACGTCGTCGCACTGAAACCCTAAGCCACCCGAAGTCCTAAATCCGAATTCAAGTCCTGGCTGCGCAGTTGTTTCCGGCTTGGACGAATCTTCGGCAGATGCTCGCGAAGATGCGGCGCTCACCATTTAAGAATCTCATAAGCCGTTCCAACTCAACCAGGTGCCAAGGTTTTGGAGCTCGTGCATGTGGGACTCGGTTTGGTCAGGATGAGTGTTGACTACGGGTTGCGGAGTAGAAGTTGGCTAAACAACCTCATATCGATGGGTTTTGCATTCTTGCAAGGTGCTGCAAGTTGGTGAACCATTCAGGCTCAATACTTTACAGGGCTTTCCACAGCTTATGTTGGCTTATTGTCTGCTGTGGGTCTCTCCAAAGCATACTTGCTCTGCCATGAATGACAACGACCCTGCCCTGATCTCGCAGCCACAGAGTGATCAGTCACATGCACGCAGGGAGGTGGACAAGTCAAGATGCAAAGCGGTGGACAATTGCAATCACACCACAAAGGCTAATCCTAGTCTCACGAGCCTCGTCACAGCTGTCGTGCCCGGAGCCGAGCTTGAAAACACCCGAAGATTCCAGGCAATTCCAGGTGCACCTCAGGGTGAACTATGTAGGGACTCCATTTCCAGAGATGAGGCTTTGTGGGACGCGGCTTGACTTGATTCTCGCAGTCAATTAGGACGGTCCTGTGTTGCACGTTCGGCCTGCATGTCTCTACGCACTACATTCACTACATCTACATCCACGTGCGGTCCCGGTGAGTGCCACAAAAGCTGTTCAGGACGCAGCCAGGCAACTAACTATAGTCGAGCACCACGAGCAACACAGGCAACGTGCCAGTCATTGCAGGATGTTTGTGCCAAGAGGCCAAGATCGGGCGAGCGTTGTCGCCGGCCAGCCAACAGTCCGACTGTGGAGAGGTCAATGATGAATGAACCTGTACCGCAAAAAGCCGAGCCGCATGTAGGCAAGATAAATGTATGGTGGACAATACGTGCGGTTCAATTCATAAGTTGGGGTTTCGTGCTGGAGGTTTGTACACCACGTGATTGGAATCACACGCCAAGGTGTATCATCGAGTAGAAGCTGTTGAACTGTTGAATGCCAACGGCCATAGTTTGAAAGCCTCCAGGCTTTCATGATGATCGGTAGACATCACGACAGAGGCACCCCCCCCAAACCTTCGTCTGCTTGATTGCATGATCGCCGGCATATAAAATGTCGAACGAAGCTAGCTTTGTCTTCGGAGCTCACCTCCCTGTGAGGCTGCTCTGACATCTACTTCGCATTTTTGGTATCCTCGACGGGAACCATACTAAAAGGGGTGTTGCATTCCGTCTGCGCCATACACAAGTTCCTGTGCACTCCTTTCCGTGCTGGCCCCGGTTTCGTCCTTCAAGTTCGGGACTTGTGCACTGCGCACAATTACGAATGCAAAACCTCTGATCGAAGAAGATGCGTGCAATGCTGAGCATCGCTCGCGAGATTGAGGGAAGTTTTATACTCCTTCACCTGGAACAGGCACAAACTGGGATTCGGAAACGCCATGGGGCTCCGGACTTGGACTCAGCCTGGGGAGCCTGGGTGCTATGTTGAAGAGCTCGTCGACGTTGCTTTTGCGTCGCGACAAGGAGGACTCCCTTGCCTCAGATGCGGGCATATATGTCTGCCCGCCTAGGAAACGGGTCCAGTCCTTGCTGGACTTGGCTGGGCGGTGAGAACAGCTCAATTGACCAGCTAAATGGGCAAGGCTTTACTAAAGCAACCAACATCCACGGTGTGCCAAAAATCTCCTGCATTTGTCTTTCCATATCTCTATCTGTCTGTCTTTGCTCTGCATTGCTTGGGGTAAAAGTCGAGGGTAGTGCCCTCGACCCACGCTCCAGGAACTTCCCCTTCCACCATTTTGATAGAGGGGCTTGACTGTATGGCGGTCGTGCTGACCAAGTGGGGGGGGTCTCTCTTCTTCCACAGGGCATAGGACGCCGGCCACTCGGGCCACTCTAGTTTATGGGGGCTTCTGGAACCGGTCCAGGTCCCACTTACCTAGGTTAACTTCACCGTAAATAGCATAACTCAAATACCCCACATCATGGTGCTACAGCCATGCACCGCTAAATTTGCTAAATTCAAACACCAGTCCCCTGCGTTTACTAGGAAACCGCTCTCTCTCTCTCTCTCTCTCTCTCTCTCTCTCTCTCTCTTTCTCCCTCCCTCTACGAGGGCAGAGGGAAGGAGCGGACGCCCTAACCCGCGCGCGAACGTGCACCTGCGAGTCCATTTGTGTGTCTCTCTCTCTCTCTCTCTCTCTCTCTGTCTATCTCTTTAGTCTTTACTGCAGCTCGCTCTACTCAATGCAACATGTCTGCAAGCACACACTCTTCCTTTTTCACACGTGGGGACAGCTCAAGCCGCTCACGGAAAACGTCGGAGACACTGCACAAAGATCGGCCACGGGCCCCGCGCTGAGACGACGCCGCTAACTGCTGTGGCAGACACAGACAGCAGGACATTGAAGCCAGCGGTGCTTCAGAGCCCCGTCCTGAAAAACCAGCACTACGACAGTGTAAGCGCACAGGTCTTACAGGTGCGACAAAATTTCTTGGCACAGGCGTCCAGCTTGGCAGAGACAAAACGTGGACTCAGTAGACGCCCGCACAAAAGTCGTTGAGTCATGTTGAGCTTCCTGCCTGAGCACGTGTAGCAATCCACTCTTGGCATTGGTGGCTACGGCGAAGCCACTTGTTCTCCGCGAAGTGGGGGGCAAAAGCCACCATCTGCTCATCCTCATCAGCACTGTCAGCAGAAGCGACAGACGAGCCACTCGAACGGCTGGTGTCAGCACCTGTGGGAGCAGCGGCCGAGGAGCAAGGTTCCTGCCAGCGACCACTGCGAGTCACATCAGGTGCGAACTTGCCTTGCTGGACAGACAGGACCACGCCACACAGGAGCCCCAGACTTGCAACACAGACAGGGCACAAGCCAACGCCAAGAATCCTGAGATCCGGGCAGGCTGGCAAAGCCAGATGCCAACAGCCACAACAACATGGGTACCAAAGGGGGCACAAGCCCGCTTACAAAAGGGCCCAAGCCCGCCGCAGAAGAGCACCAAGGTCCTCGCGTCAGCCTGCAGACGGCAGGGCGCAGACCACAAGGAGGCGAGGCACAAGCCAGCCTGGTGGTGCGAGAAGCGCGACCTCAAGGTGTACAAAGCACAGGTGTGACCACGAAGAGTGGAAAAGGCCCGGCACAAGCCACAGCATACAGGTCGGCAGTAGCCTGAAGAGCCGGGTCAGAACCAGGCAGAGGAGCTCCAATGCCACCATCCACCTGAGAAGCCAGTGCGACAGGTGCAGGGTCATTGCTCAGGTCAGGCGGTGAAGACACCGTAGGAGCTGCCGGTGCCGGCTGGCCAGCAGGAGTCACCCCGTCGAGCGAGTCCAGATCAACCTGCCTCCAAGGTGGCAACACGCGAGGCAGGGCAGGTGCAGGCAGAGAAGACAGAGCGTCAGGAACCCCATCGCCAGCCACCGCCGCATCAGCCACATGATGCAGAAGGGATCACAGCGGGGCCAACATCACGCTCATCGTCGGTGACGGTCAAATCAATGACCTTAGTGACGTCAAGTGCAGCAGGGGCGGCAGACGGAGCACCAGCAGCATCTCCTCCCACCACATCGCTGGAAGATCCAGCCCAGGCAGCAGAACCTGCAGTGTCAGGCGCAAGGTCAGGGCCGCCGTCAGAGTCAAGACCCAGGAGGTCACCCGTGGCACCGCAGGGGCATGGGCACCTCGGCCAGGATTTACCCAACCCTCTTCGACAGTGGCTTCAGAGGATGTCGCCGGCAGCGTGGTACAACCGCTTCAGCTCATCCCTCGGAATCGCCTCAAGGGCCGAGACATCGGCGTGAGCCAGCGATCTCGCCCTCCTCATGTAGCGAGACAACGGAACGAGCGACGTGACCAGCAACGTCCCAACAGCTACAGGCCAACGACAGAAACAGAACACAACAGACAAACAGAACTTAAGCCAAAATGGCTGCGAGGTGCAGTAAAGTCGCATATTGCATCTAGCAGACTTCTTTCGACAAGGCTATGGTGAAGAGGTTTGACCACCTATCTTGCTTGCTTGCTTGCTTGCTTGCTTGCTTGCTTGCTTGCTTGCTTGCTTGCTTGCTTGCTTGCTTGCTTGCTTGCGTGGCGTTTGGAGGAGGGGCAGATCCCCCACCTCCTGCGCTCCAGCGCTACGCCAGTGTCCGCTTTAAGTCTGTGGAGTGAGACACGACTGCAACCCCCTACACGTGCACGGCCCCGAAGACCCCGCCTCGTTGACTTTGAGGGGCTTTGTGCAAGTGTCGGTAGTTGCTGTCACTGTCCCCGTCGTTGCAGGGCTTTTTGGGCTATCCATGGCTTCCACAGATCTTCACGCCGTTGAATCCCATACATGGTCACGTGATGAAGCCCCGCTACAACATTGGTCACACAGCAGACAGCATGTAACCATGCTACAACATCTCACCTTCTTGTTTGGTGACGGTCAACGGCTCACGACGACATATGTGATTTATTGTGTGGTTCGTGGATGTTTGCTGTGTGTCGGTGCGGATCCCCGAGGGCCGGGAAACATAGGGCAGGGAATACAACAGCTACGGGAACGTCACACACAAGGGGACTCCGCACCGGTGGTGGTGATGCTGTGGTGCGGCTGCAGGAGCCTATAGGGGTTAGGAACATAAGCCACTAGTAGGGAAAAACTCACTGAGGCCCCCGCAGCTTAGTGGAGCGTGGTGTCTGTCCCTACTTTGTTTGTTTATATACTCAGCTTTGCCCGCATATTGCGGCAGAAAAGAGGCCGGTGCTCACTGCTCAGGTCTCGGTCGCTTCCGCTGCTCCGCACCACTCGGGTAAAAGAAGCCAGGCTCCAGTCGTCGGCGAAGTCGTCGTCTTTCTCTCCATTCTGCTCTGTCGCGGCGGTTGCGCTCTATACGAGCTTCTTCCGTCAGCGGGGCCGATTTGCGTGTGCGGCCATTTGGGGCCCTTGGTGGCGGTGGGCCTTCTGGTTCTGCCGGTCGTCTGGACCCCCATGCGCTGCTTGGCGGTTCCGACAGTTCTTGTTTGGTGGTGTTGTCGTTGTCCCCCTCCTCGACCTCATCTTGACTGTCACGGCTCCAGTCTGGCCCCTCAGATTCTTCTCTGGCGGTCCCCGTTGGTTCTCCCCTGTCGTCGTGGGGCTCCGTCTTCTCGCCGGTTGGGGAGGCATTCTCGAAAACGTCCTGGTCTGGATGTAGCCCCCTGTGTGGAGGTTCTTGCTCACCCGGCGGGACTAGCTGTGCGGTCTGTGGCTGAGTGTCGAGCGCGAGGCAATCAGGTAGTAGGCGTCGTTGTTGTGGGTCTCCAGGATCGTCTCGGGGGGCTCCTGGTGAGTGTGCTTTTCCTTGTTTTCGTGCTCCGAATCCTGTAGTCGTGCTGCCTTCTGGTAGTAGGCGTCGTCGTTGTGCTCGGCGGGTACGCTTGTTGCCTGTGGGATGGCACGGGCTGCGCCTGCAGCGAGAGGGGAGAGTCCCCGCAGGACTCCTCTGGTGTTGGCGGTGCTGGTCTGGAGGTCTTGTCTGCTGCTGCTCTTGCTGCCGCGGTCCCCTCGTGTCTCTTCGGGGTCTCGGGTGGTGGAGACTCAGCGGTTGGCGGTTGCCTGGTGGCTGGCCCCGCTTCGGTTGTCTGCTGTTCGCGGTCTGCTCGCTTCCTGCGTTTCTGGCTTTTCCGGGGCACGTAGTCGAGGATGGAGTTCCATGCCTCTTGCTCGAATTCCTCGTCCTGTGGGCCCCAGGGCCCTGGTGACGCTGGCTGGGCTGGGCCTTGTGGGGTTCCTTCGCGCTGGGTCCTCGTAGGCGCCGGCAGGGGTGGTTGTCCCTGTGCTGCGCCGTCTGAGCTGCTGCTGCTCGTGCTGCTCGAGGAAAAGCTGTGCGATTTGGGTCGTCGCGGCCCTGGTGGGCTTGTCCTCGCTTGCTCGCTGGTAGTAGCGGTCGCCGGCGTGCTTCCGGTGGATCGTGTTGTAGGTGCCTTCGGTGGTGGTCCCCTGGTAGTAGGGGTCGACGGCGTGCTTCCGGTGGATCGTGCTGTAGGCGCCGTCGGCGGTGCTCGGTGACGTCGAAGGTAGGCGCGGGCTTCCCCCCCGTTGCTGACTGTTGACCCGTGTAGGGTACAGGCTGGGTCTGAGCGGTTGTGCCCTCCGTGCCAGCTGGGGCCTTGGATGCATCGCCGACATTTCGGCTTCTCTGTTGTGGATGGCATTGTCCCCGGAGAGCCCCAGGTCGCCGAGGTCGATGTAGGTATCGCGTCCGTGCCGTTGGAGATCGAGATGGCCCGCCGCTCTGCACAGTTACTCTTAGGGCACTCTACCTCACTTGAAGCCGAGAGGCTACTTGTCACTTTCAATGGGGTATGCTGTGTCCCCGCTCGGTGCCTTGGTTTAACTCGGCTTGAGGGGGCAGCTGGGGTACAGGGCCCCGCTTGATGCTCAAACTCAGCCAGCTTTTTCTCTAAGGCGAGAACCCTGCTCTGAAGACGTTCGGTCCCCGCTACTGCTTGGTCTAAGGAGCTCCCTAGTGCTTCCTGTTCTTCGGGCAACTCCTGAATGCTGTAAAGGGCGGCTTGGACCCCGTTTGCGACCTTGGTCTCGACCTCCCCGATGAGTCTACTGACTGGTGCGAGCCCCTCCTCGAGATGGCAAGGGTCTCTTCACTAAGTCGTTGTTGTTGTTGTTGCGCCAGGCCTTGTTGAAGCTCGCTGCGGAATGCCCAGGCGATGGAATCCACAGTCAGTCTTGTT